CTGTTTTTTCCTGCAGGACATTTGAACAGGCTCTCATAGTAAACTTATTAAGATATATGTAATCAACAGGTGTGTTTCTTTGCTTACTTCTGTTTCCCATCATGATATACGGTAAAGTGACCTAGATGTCACAAAGCAGAGAGGCAAAGAAACAAAAAGATGGGGTGTCAGAGGGTAAAAATAAGCCTCTTTGTTTTTATCTGGGTGACAGAGAAAAGGGTGAAGCAGTCACAGAGACTGATGTTGGTTTACCATGTCTGTCTGTTTTTCCTGGAAAAAACTAGAAAAGTAGAAGGAAGATGCATGACAATAGAACTAATACCAGTATCATACCAGGAGGTTCAGAGGTAAAGGTTTGCCATCATGGGCATTTGGGCGGGATCCATAAAAAAATGCAGCCATAAACGTATCACCGTGGGTTTAATTTTGCTTTAAATGAGATGTGTTCATGTTGGGGGGGTCATGTTTACTGTTTACTCAGTGCAGCAAACAAAACCCAGATTAGTCATTAAGCTTCCAACTTAAGACAAATTAAGATACTGAACAAAGATGAGAAAGGAAGGGTGACTTATAACATAGAAACGGTCCCAGGAGGAGATGAAAATCAGGAGTGTGATCCTTAAATAATGTATGAGAGGTGAGTTCATATAACTGACAAAGAAACACAAGAACCAAACAGTGATGAGGGGAAAAAGAGGGCAGGAACAGATCATTATAATAGCCATGATGGTAACTTGATGTCAGTGGTTTAGAAGCCACAGGCTTCATTACTAACTCAATGAAACAGCACACAGTTCAGGATTTATTTAAACCAAGACACACTGCAGTCTTGTTCTTCAGGAAGAGATGAATGAGATGGATGGATGGACAGACTCTGTAAGATTTAAAAACTTTATTTCCGTCTCGAGCCACTCTGAGCCATAGACCATGTACTGAAACAACAATATTTAATCATCTTTAATAAGCTTGTGATTAAGTGTAACAGAAAAAAAAAAGATGTTGCATCACTGGTAATGAGAGCAATGCCCTCTGTGCCCTGACAGCAGCTTGTAGTATATGAGAACAAATGGAACCCGTGCAGCAGATAAATTTGGTGATCTCTGCACATTTAGCTGCTGATGTATCAGCTAGAAAAAGAGCTTTGTACTGACTAAATGGTAATAAAAGAAATCGAGTGGAAATCCTGAATGCACAATGAGCAGACCAGGAGTGTATAAAAAAGATAGGAAACCTCAAAGAGGCCAGTGCTGACCACTGCGAAACTATAAGAATGTGTTCCTACATCTGAACAGTAAAGCTGATCAGCATGATCAGATTAGGATGAAGACATAATTAAAGGAATAATTTGGACTTATCTGCACTCGTATAGCTGCTGTAAATGCTTCAGTCTCTAAATGAAAACGAATCTGATTTTTTATATATGAACTATCCTATATGGACAAAAGTACCGGGTCACCTACACATTACACCTACAGGAGCTGCTCCATAAGGGAAACCCATTCTTTGAAACCCCAGCACACGGCTTTTGTGTGCTGATGTTAATGCTGGAGGGGGTTTGCAGCTTTGCAGTTATCGAGTCAGCAGAGTGTAGCATGTGACCTCGCTCTGAAGTTTTACATGGTCTCTTTGTGGCTGAGTTTCTATAGTTCCTAAACTCTTCCACTTTGCAATGACACCACTTACAGCTGATCATAGATTATCTAAGAGGGAAGACATCTCACCAGTTGATTTGTTGTAATTAAAGGATCCTATTACATTACCAGAGCTCTTTGAAAAGACCCATTTCTTACCAATGTTTGTAAAGGCAGACGGCATGGCTAGTTGGACACCTCTGGAAGTGGGACTGAAATTCAAAGATGAAGACTGGATGGCCCAATACTCTATATAGAGTGCATGAGATACTTGGTGAAAGCATGAAAACACTCTTTAGGTTTTGGTTTTCTGAGCATGTGGTAGCTGTGTGCATGGGGAACACAACACAAGCAAAGGTCACGATGGAAGAAAATGAGGAAAATGTTGCAATTCTTGAAGCAAAAATCCAGCTTCAGACAAAGGAAGCTCTTAAAGGTTACTAGTTAAGGGTTTTGGGAGAGACCAAGCAGCACGTTTGGTGGGGCGACTGTTCTGGGTTTTTAGGTGTCATTTGGGATTTGTAGTTTTATGCCTTTAATGTAAATAGAGGGTTTATGAATATTTTGAGGTTATATTTTTTATTTTAAATTATAATATACAAATGTTAACATAGTTTAATTGCCATTTGTTAAGTGTGGAAACACCCCTGGCAGGGGAAAGCAAAGTGTGGCAGGTTATCTAAGGGCTGGGTACTATGGATATATGGCCCCGGTATAGGAAGAGAAAAGTAACACAGGCCAGGTATTTCAAAATTTCCAAGTCCTCTTTTAACATAACAGATTCCAGAAAGAAACGATTACATGGGCAGGATTAGGTTTAAAAGTAACATTGCTCACTGTCACCATCTGGTGGTCAGCAGCTGTACTCAAACAGGCAATCGTCTGTTAACTGCTTACAAAGTGATACTGAAGATATTCTGTTGGCATGCTTGAGATGTCAGTGAAAGTCAAGCAAAGGGTGTGGCATAATATTTTATTCACATATTTAATGGAATACAAAGCCCCCCCAAAAAATCTGACCCCACCCCGAAACCCCAAAAATTGTGCACATCCGATCTTGTGGGAACTATTCCGTGTCACAGAAAAAAAACAACCAGGAAACAAAGGAACTTTTTTTTAAACTGTTGGAGTGTAAGACTGCAGTTTTAATCTGATGGCCATATAAAAGTATGCCCTCTCATTGCGAATGAACCCTTCGCAAAAAGTAACCACACCTGTCTAGAGTCAATCGATAAAAAGGCTGCAGCAACAAACAAAACCAAAACATGAGTTTCTTACAGAAAAAAAAAAAAATTCCTTCGTCGAGCTTTTTCGTTACAACTACAAGGATGTAATAACTCCAGCACAATAATAATTTAGCTTTAAGGGACTGTAAATTCAGTCACTTTTCTATTCTTTTATGCAACCTCCTGCTAAGCTGCTTGTAAGGAATGAACATGTCCCCAATTTGACTTGGAACAGAAACAAAATATTGACAATTTTACAATTTAAAAAGAAAAGAAGGAAGAAAACTGCCAGCAGGGCTACCAATGGAAAACAACCTCAGATGTACTTGTGGCCAACCTAGGTCCAATAACATAAGCTTCATCAAAACAGCTTTCAAAGTGCTTTTTACACAACTAGCCATGTCTTCCAAGTGACTCTGCATCAGTGGAACAATCCCGTCATTTGGGACAAAAAAAAAAAAACATCTGTCATTTCGGTCTGGCCAAAGATCTCAGTGAATCTCGTGACATGTAAAACAAACCAGCTTTAAGACAAAATGGGTTGGCAAACCCACTGATTGGTGAAGAAAAAAAAAAGAATAATAACAGTAACATCACTGCCACTGAAGCCACACATCGCAGTGCATGACAAAGTTCGTTTCAGAAGTTTGGGAAGGGGACCCGATCGCTCTCCCCCCCACCCACAGAAGTGTCACACCAATCACAAGAGGGTTTGTCTTAGTTCATTTTGACTCTCTTCCTGACCACTACACATCAAAACACACCAGAAAACAAGTTAACCCAATACAACACACACAATCCAAGGTTCGTGGTCCAAAAGGTGCTGTCCAAAAAAGGTCCCGTTGTCCACTTTTTTTTTAGCTGTTCCGACATGCGAACAGTCGGTTTGAGCAATTTATGTAGTGGACAATGGAGAAAAGAAAATATATATATATATTAAAAAGAAAAGACATGTTCAGGATGACGGAGCTTCACTGTCAGTTACTGACTTCTAACAGTCGCTCTTGCAGGAGGAATAAACTGTAGCAGCTCGCTGTCCGTGTCTATTCCTCCCTCTCTAATTGTCTCACTCGGACCATCCAAGCCTGTTCCTCTCGGGTCAGGTCCTCACACCATGTAGGAGTTCTGGTTCTTCAGCTTGTCCAGCTCTTTGCTCTGTTGCCTCAGAAACAAGATTCTGCAGTTG